GGAAGGAGGGGGGAGAAGAGGGGGAAGGGGGCTTCCAAACACTAGCAAGTTAAAGGCTTTCCAGCAGCAGCATCACAAGGGTGGGGAAGCAGATTTTGCACCTAGGCTGGTTACAGTTTCAATACGGATTTTGCATTAGAAATAATCAAGTTGTTTAAGGAACTAAACCAACTTCAAAAATTACACTCAGGCTAAAGAGACCATGTGGTTTCAGGTTTTTCCAGTGGGAGGAGGGATTTTTTATAAATGGTTTTAACCCAAAAGAAAAAGGTATTAGTTACAGAACAGTTACTGATTACGCTTAACCCTATAATATTTTTCTTAGTTACAGCAGTTAGCCAGCAAAAATGAGCACAAGTCAATATATCTTTATTCCTCAGGTATATGTTTGGTTTAAACAAAACTGGGTAAGTGCATTCAGTATACTGTACTCCAAAACAGAAGCTGTAGTCTTTTCGCTGGAAAGAAAGGAGGGAGGGAAATATCAGAAGACAGCTTTTATTTCATAACGGTAATTTTGTTTGGGGCTGTACACTACTGAAACAGGCCTAAAGATGAAAGAAACTTAGAAAAAAAATGAAACCCACTACAAGCTGTTTTGCTTCAATTTACCATCTAAGAACGTGGACACAGGTTTATAAAGGAATAAGCCACTCTTACACAGACATAAGCAAGGAGTGGGCACAAAAAACATGATCTTATATCATGTAACTTGCTAAATTTGGGTGAATTCACCCCTGTAATCTGAACGGGAAAAGCCAAGGAGTGAGAGCCAATACCTATACTTGGAGTACGTGTCATGTGTCTGTTTCTATCCTAGGTTAGCTGTTTGGTCAATGCAACCAGGCTACTATTGGCCTCCATGTTACCTAATGGCAAGGTGCTGTAACTAGACCTGCTGCAGCAGCTACCCACTCTGGAATGCTGCTAAATTATAGCAGATTAGCAAATCAATGCACGTTATATTAGTGTTAGTGATGTGTTCAAGTCCTAAGAGTAGTTTGAAAGCAGCTTGTTCCTAGATCAAAAACTTTTGGGTGTTTTTGCAAATGTTACCCAGGACTAACTTTGATAGAGTACAATAACATTTGTTCTCTATTCTAGATATCGACCTGGAATAAAAAATAAACATTTGTAATTACAAACAAGTGTGCCTGCAGCATGTTAAAATTCACTGCCATTGAACTAGAGGCGTTTACTGGAGAACTCGCTGGTGCGAGGGAAAGAATAAAGGTTTGAGTTTTCATGGCAACCATCAATCCTCTGGATCATGGTGTACACATTAAAGGTTTAGTCAGATGCCCGATGACTCAGATTGTGGCTGACAAATCCAAACCAAGAATGACACCGCTTGTTACAAGTTTCACAGATCCATGTGCTGTCTGAGTTGGAGCGCAAGTTTGCAGCACACTGCTTTCTTCTTTCTTACTTTACTTCCATTCTCTAGATCAAAGCCGCTTTATGCCGAGCTGCACCAAGTACCAGAAGGTCCCTCCAGATTAGATGGGATTCTGTGCACTCCTCCCAGCTTTTGACATTGATGTTGAATGACTTCATATTTTTTGCACACATTGTGGTACTGCCATAAAGGGCAACTCCACTTTCTAGAGCCATCTTGAATCTCACTGTACAAAATATTCTTAAGAATATGATCTCCGGTTCTCCTGACATGGCCGAGCCATCACAACCTTCTCTTCTGATGGTGGTTTCTAAGTGTCAGTCCTGCATGCCAACGTACCTCTATGTTTGGCATTTTGCCTTCCCAATTATTCTCAGGATCTTGTGCAGGCATCTCAAATAGAAGCCGTTCAGTGTCCTGATGTGCCTAGTATATGTAATCCACATTTCTGAACCATAAATGTAAAATGGGTGCCCCTGCCCCACTTCTTTTAGAATAACAGATCTACATCAAATGCCCCCAATGGAGACCAACCTGCTAATAAATGTGGTCTTTAGCACATGCAACTTAAGCCACTTCCCCAAACATGCGCTTTGCCCTCAACTAGAACCAAGATTCAGGGAGATACCAGGAGCAGGACTGGAGGTGACACTACTTTTCCCTTCTTTACCCAGTACCAAGCCACCACTAAGGTAAGAGATTAAGGGGCCTTTGCCCACAGGTCCTTCTCCTCTTTACAAGACATGAGGAAAGACACGAGCTGGGTGTTTTAGCCAGACTTACTATTACAGAACTACAGTGAAGATCCTTTCCAAAAAGCAAACAAAACAGTATAAAAGAGAAGCATAATTTAACTTGAAAGATTTTAAATATCCTGGTAATAAATTTTAAGGCACAAGGGACTTGTAAGAGGTACAGCTTATTACTCCCCACTCCTGGCATCAGCTTTCCCAAGTCAGGTAGTAATACAAGTCTGATTATAAACAAAACTATTAAGCTTCCTGGTTGATTAAAATCTTAAAACACAACCACTTCTGGTTTGATACCAGCACAAATATGCCCCAAGCAGGTACACAAAGAGTCTGTCCGCGTAAACCTGCCCTCCTAGCTTAGAAGTTTGTTTTCTTAAAATAAATATTTTTGTCCTTTATTCCCCTGGAGAAACTGTGGGGAAATTTTATTTATTTCTATACCATAGGAAGGAGAAAATAATTCAATTAGTTCTCTCCAAACAGATTCCCAGGCAAAAGGAAAGATACAGAATCCCTCTGAAAGCAGATATATAAAATAACCTGCATTTACAGACTTGAAATGTCTGGATGATTTAGTTGTTGTTCTTCAAGTGATGTCCCCAGAAGCCTGCTCTTTCAATCTGACTTACAGTTCAGGAACAGCACTTCCTTGACCTGATCTGTCTTATTGCAGAGCATGCTGATAGTTTTTTTATATCTGGTAAGTGGCTGAACCTAACTACTTATTTCTAAATCAGCAACAATTTGAAATGTTTGAAATGTGAGTACCACAGTAATAACTAAAATATGCATAGTCCAGATAAATGGAATAAGACCCCATCTCCATATTAAATCATAAACCAGTTAACTAGACCTACATGGCATTATCTACAGGAAATTCTACCCATCACAATTTCTATATTTACCCAGGCAAAGCTGCCTATCGAACACAGTGACAACAAGAAAAAGGGACATGATGTGGCCAATTTCAAATATCAAAAGAAAAGGGTCATTCTGACAATAGAGAGCTTAATTCCTGTATCCTTACAGGTAACAAGGAATACCTCACTGAAAACAGCCCACATGAAGTCAAGGTAGGACTGAGCAAAAATGAAAAAAAAAAATAGTAGTAATAAAATAAAAGGAGGGAAGGCTAGGCGGGAGTTAAGGGTTCACATACCAAAGCAATTTTCTTCATTTTTCTCTCTCTCCCCCCAACAGTCACAGCAATATTTAATCATAACAATTTCAAAACAACATTAACTAAATTAGAGTAGTTTTTAAATGGTTTCTGAAACCTGTACTCTAAATAATTACTGAAACTGCTGAAAGACAGTAATAAACCCACCATTCTGAAATAATCTCATTAGATTTAAAATGAAACATTCATATCAACTACATCTTAAAACAGAAATAAAAGAAAACAAATAGCAAAACTATCATTATTTGAACATGTACAAGCTTGGGATTGAATCCTGCCTCTACTGCAATTAGAGTGATGATATCTATTACAATCATGGTCATTCTTGGCCAATGGCAATAAAACTTAGAACATTTTTTGGTTAAAGAATAAAGAGTAGACATAGTTTTCTCATCTTTACTGCCATTCTTCAATTTACTTCTACGCTGAACTTTCATTAAAAAAGGGCCAAAGGGGAGGACCCTCATGAGTGCAATAAATCAATCTACTTTATATAAACAGGTACATTTATGTTCTGAAAAACCTGGTGGCAGAACACTTCAACCTCCCTAGACACTGTACTGCTGACCTCAGGACTGCTGTTCTCAAGCAAAAAAAATTAAGAACAGTTTGAACAGGAAACTGCAGGAAAAAAGTCATCTACAAACTGGACTGCATTAAGTCTGGTTTAAACAGGGATGACTTCATTACCTGGATTAGTTTTTGGACCCCCTTTTCCCCCCCCCATGGGTTTATTACTCATTTACTTGTCTTTCCCAGTGCCCCTGTCCCCTCATCCCTCCCCACTTCCCTTGTCTTTTGTATTTTAATTTCTCTGTCCTTCTTATAATCTGCTTTCTAATGATATAAGCCTGCTTTCACAAAAGCTTGTGCTATTTTCTTGTATTACAACCCCTCCCCAATTAGTCAGTCTAGACTGAACCGGTAACAAACTGAAGTGATGTTCAGTGTTTGGGTGGCCAAGACAGGCAGAAGCCGGCACTGGGCCAAGCCAGATTCCTGGGGGTACTCCCATGCACCAGAAGCCTGGGGGTGCTCATGTGCACCATCCCTCGTGGCCAGGCTATCTAACGGTGCTGAACCAGCAGCCCAGGCCTAATTGGCAGCCAGTGTCAGCAAGGGAAGGGGAACACCCACCACAGGTTGGCCCACCACCCCCCGCTCCCACCCAGGCTGGGATCAACCCCATCCCACCCCTTCCC